ATTAGCTGTTCAGAAGCACGCAGGTGCCCCAGTTTGTCTCGAGTCAGTTTATACTGTTTCCACCACTGATCAGCCCTGGATTAGTGTCATGTTACGCCAGCAGGGGCACCTGCCTGGAATCAGCAACACCATGTCGTTGCACTTGCTGTGGTCTCTGCCCTGACTCCAAGAGAAAAAAGCAAAACTGGGAGATTATTTCTTTTGTTTTTAATTTTATGGTTTTACGGTGTCGTATTGCTGTTCAGACTGTGTCCCTCTGGAATATTCTGGAGGGTATATATTCCTGGCAACTAAAACCCCTATGTGAAGCAGAACTTGTCAGTAATAGTATAGAATATCTCTGTTACTATTCTAATAAGGCAGAGCAAGTGGGACAAGATTTGGTTGCACAGGCTGAGTTGGACAAATATAAACCAAAACCTTATAAGCATATCGTACCTTCTTATAGAGGCCATTTAACAAAATTCTTTGACAGCTATAATTTTGAACCAGGGTGGAGATTCTACACCCAGTTTAGTGGGCGTGAGGTGAGTGTGCGACTCAGTATGGGAGAGCAGAGAAAATACACAAGCAGACACCTGACATACATTTTTTCCCTTATATTTAGCCTTTCTAAAACAATATTTATACAGTGCTTATAATTATGTTCTAAACAGGTAGCCTTAATAGAAACTAAGGACTTGGGTAGCAAATTGAAATTTGCTGCCGATTGGTCAAACAAACTGAGACCAAGCCTCCACCTTCAGAGCAAAAAGCAACTCAGTTCTAAAATTGGATTAATGCTAGTAAGCAGTGAGGAGATATCAGTGGGCAGCGTTTTTCAGAAGTGTTGCTAAGACATCAGTATTAAGCAGATCCCCTTTCCATGCTTGGCATTGCTTGCCTTGCTTAGCATCACCTCATCTGTTCCTCATATTTACACAAACAGAACCAAATAGCAGTTATCAAACTGTAAACCTGTCACTTTTAAGTAAACAATTACCTGCATTATTTAAACACGCAGCAGATTCTTTTTTCACTTGTCGAGCCTCAATGTGCCACTTCTTTGGGACCCTAAGAGAGCAACGCATGCCATTTAAGCACAAGGACCTCCATGTCCTGTTTATTTAGTGACATGTGAGTCATGGTGAAGGTTTTATCACAGGGGTCTGTAGGGTGAGTCATAATAGTTCAAACAAGCAAGCCTCAACACAACGCATTAGCCTCAAGCTACTCAAAGTAAATGGTTGTCGCATCCACTTATCTGTCTGCTGAAGCTTTCATTGTGCGTGAACTACATTAAATAAATATATAAACTTGAGGCAAGCCAGAAAAGACTTCTCAAAGATTTGGAGGATGCTATTTTTCCTCATGCATTATTTGCTGCGAATGGCTTCGTCTTAACGGATGCATAAGTTGCCAAGAGTGTACCATTAATGAATGGCTCGTGATAATTGTGCTTCACTGACTCGGAGCGCATTGTTTCATCCTACTGCTTTCACCATTAGCTGCAATTTTCAAAGGCATTTTGGCTGAATACTACTATGTCAGCACCTATTTCTCCTCAACCCATTTGTTTGATCAACAGCTCTACCTGCTCAACTATTTATCAAAGGAGCACATAAGAGGACCCCACCACCGTACAAGGTAAACAAAGACAGGATATCAAAAGCGGCACTTTGCCACATATGATACTTTACATTCTCACTAATTTTCTGGTAAATCAAATTACACAAACACAGTTATTGTGGAAGAAATAGAAACAAATCCTTTTATATAAAAAGTTCATATGCAATTTTTATTTAATGGATTTTAAGACTTTTTAAACAATTAGCATAAATTGATATTGAGATGCTTCTGTTTTGAACCATGTCATGGGCTGCTGATGCTGAGCTTCATGGGATTAAGACCAACATGAGAAGTGCAGGGCGCTGTGGCTGGCTGCAGGCTAAAGGAACAGTACACTCAGATTCACTGTGACAAGACTCCCCTTCTTTTCACTGAAGAAGAATTGCCCAAAGACATTCATCCCCCATCTTTCCCTATCATGACTATAATGCTGACCTGGTTTCATTCAGGGCTTCTCTACCAAGGCCATTGTACTGCTCCTAAAATGGTCCTAATGTATTTACATATGACCAACCGATGTGGAATTAAAACTGTGGTATAAAGAAGAGGAAATTGTGTGTGCTGGTAAATATAAACAAGTGAGACAGAGTCTTCCCACAACACCATATCCACTTTTGCCATTTATCATTAATGATGAAAAAATCAGCAGATAAATGTTTAAAGTACGCCCACTATTGTCATTTCCATATGCATATTTTCTTTATTGGACTTCATTAGAGTAGCATTGAATTATTCACAGTTCAAACTCATTTTTAATTATCTTATACTCAACTTTGGTGTGGCCACTCAGTTGAAGATCTGTCTGAAAAAAGGCAAGCGGAGCAGAATAAAAAGATGAACTGATCATTTAGAGCACTCCGACATTTGTGCTTTTGCCTCATTTGGATTAATTGTACATGCACTTACACTGTTATTTGAAACTTTGACCGTGTTTACACTACTATGCAAAAGTTTTGAGTCACCCCTCACTTCTTTATATTTAACTTCTAAGAAGCCAGACTTTCTTTTTAATATTTTAATGTGATCTTGAGCAATGGTTCCCCAGGCTGTTTGGAAGGCTTTGAAGGTTATTCTTGGACATTGGCTGGTTTTCCTGATTTTCAGTGCAGTTCTTGTACCTGAACATTTTCAGAAGAATGTTTTTTAAGCCACTTAGCACTGACCTGTGAATCATGCAAGAATATAAATGGTACAAAACTCAAGGGGTGAACCATTGTTGTTTCACATAACAGACTATTTAGCAAAGAACCAATTTTAAACTGTATTTTTAGTCAATTTGTTAATAGCAGTCTCTCACAAAAACACACTGCTTATTCCCATTTCTTTAGTCGATTTTATTAAAAATGGCAAATGTAACACAGTTTGAAGGGTATAAAGTATTTTTGCACCAACAAGGTGATTCACAAAGCACTATTAGCTTAAAAACTAAGGAAACTGTTCTTAAGAAATGGGAATAAAATCCAACAAAGACCCGAGAGAAACATCTGGCCCTTTAGTTTATCCATCCACTATTCACTGAAGCTTCATAAGAAATGGCCTCAGTGGAAAATTGGCTGTGAAGAAGCCATTCTTAAGGAAGAAAAACAAGGAGGAAATGCTGAGGTATGCCGAATTTTACAAGAACTTGACTGAAAATCAACGCCAACAGGTCTTTTGGAGTTATGAATTAAACCTGACATGGCTTGAAAATGATTCGAAGCACAAAAGCATGCCTTGATAGGAAAAGTCTGGAGAACTATTCCTGAAGACTACTTCAAGAAATAACAAGAAAGCTTCCTCAACAGAGTTGGCTGTGTTGAAGAAAAAAGCTGTATTCCAAGGTTGTTAGAATTACACAAACTCAGATTTTGCCTTATATACTGTATTTCCATGTATGTTTCCATTTTTCAATAAATAGCTGCAGCCGTTTCTCACTTTCCTAGAAAAATACAAAGAAATAATTGATGGCTCAAGTTTTTCCATAGCACCAGAGGTGGGTACAAGAAAGTGTGATCTGTATAGAGTTCAGTTGTCACAGGGATGAATGGTATCACTGCACATGACACGAGTGTTTGCATGTGTTCTGCATGTTTGTGTGGTTTAAGGAAGCCCTGTTGTAAGGGCCCACAGCAGCCTCCCCAAAATAGAGCCGAGAGCAGCTGCAGCCGGGTGGGTCGTATCAGAGGGACATCAAAGGGGCCGCCGCCACCCGCCCTCTCTGATCATAAGCACTAATGGTGTAATGGGGGACTGGAAGGTCAGTGATTGTTTTTGGTTGTGTGTCTGTGTATGTAAGAGAGAGAGAGAGAGAGAGAGAGAGAGAGAGAGAGAGCGAAAGAAAGTCAACAGGCAACAAAGGTGATAGAACCTTCTGGAGCACAAAGCAACAGCATATAATCCTTGCAACAAAAAATAAATATCAGATTTGGTGTTGCCTCTTCGCTGATATCTATGGCAGAACCCAGCACAGCCAATTATAAATAACTGGCTTGGAAAATAGATTCCTTCTCCCACTGGTGAGTGAACTCTGGATCCCTAGATATCAGAATAAGTGGGAAAAAGTATATCACAGTCCCACAATATTATCTGTAAGGAACATACACTTCATCACTCTTGCATCAAACTGTACAGTTTCCAGGCATGCTCAGTATACTACTCTTAGTGTCCCAGCTCAGATAACTCTGCGTCCATTTGTGAGCCTCAGATTTCAACAGTCATCACTTTTCCTGCATGAAGACCTCCAGGCAGAGAGGTCCAGGCAAAGACACAGTCTGAATCTGAGCGTACGACATCCCATTTGCTGTAATGTTGTCCTTATGTATTCGATATTCTTATGATATTTTGTATTCTTATAATATTTTGTACTGGCTGGACTTCAGAAGATATAAAAGCACAGAGTACATGTCTCCCCCGCCTCTTCTTTCTTGAATCCAGATTTATGGCCCTATAAAATGTCTCTGTCATGTCCAATCAACACCTGCTGTCGCTCGTCACAAACCCAGTGGAAACAGTCGGAGAGGTTAAGCTTGAACACAGGCGCTCTCTATAGGATTAACAAGGCATTAACCCGTAAACCAATTTTAGTCATCTGAGCTCTTGATAAAATAATAATAATAATAATAATAATAATGATAAAATACAATAAAAACCCAGAAAATGTCTTACTTCTTCTGCTTATTTAGCCTTATCTGTTTACCTTAATGTATTATTTCGATATGCTGACTCATATACAATAGCGGACAGTTGAACGCTCATTATCCTGACACGTATTTTGTGATCGTAGAAGACAATATTTTATTTTTTAAAAAGAAAAGGTTTCTAGCCATAGTAATATGAATATTATTATTTATTTATTTTATACACATAACTGGCAAAGAGCCGGGGAGGTTTCTTTTTCGACTCTGCGGAAGAAATTTACTGCGGACGTGTGTTCGCCCATACTGGTTCCGGGTTTCAACATCCTGTTAGCTAACGTTAGCTGAAACACAATCTTCTCTACGCTATAAGGTACATAGTGGTAAGAATCCGTGTATCTTTTCCGTTACGTGATTTTATGTATTGCCGTATGTCAAAGTCAACTATGTGGTTTAAGTTTTACATTGTGAAGAAGCGGTAAAATAAAAAAGCTATATCAATTTTTTGGAAAGGTTTTAGCAGGCTAGCCAGAGTTGACTAACCCTGACGGCTGCTTACACGTATGATAGAGGAATAAATTCACAGCCATTGCTGTGTAATTTAGATATGATGGATGAAGAGGATTTACAGGTGAAGATGTTCATATATCTCTGAAAGGAAGCTAGCTTTGTTTTAACGGGCCTAACTTTACGCGGCGTTTGTGATAAATCATATTCGACGGGATAGCCAGCGTTAACATTTAACAACCTGCAGTTTGACAAACACAGTGGCAACCGTTGTGTAATCTAGCCGATTAAATGTTGAGTTGCAAGTTATGCCCCAAAAAGAGTGATGTTTTAATGTTTTTCCTTTTCAGGATTAAAGAAATCCCGGAACAACATGGGTGAGTGATGGCTAGAAATCCACAATTCCCATTTGTCCACATTAAAGTAGCCACACTGAGGTCTCATTTCTTCGTCCCTCTTCAGTAGCTGTTGTCGTACACCTGTTTAAAATTGTTGGTTGTCATCTCTGTTACTTCACAGATGGTGAAGAGAGAACCTATGGTGGCTGCGAAGGGCCAGATGCCATGTATGTGAAGCTGATCTCGTCAGATGGCCACGAGTTCATTGTGAAACGAGAACATGCCTTGACATCTGGGACTATCAAAGCCATGTTAAGCGGGCCAGGTGAGAATTCAGACAATGACATTGTTATAAAGGAGCAAATTTAACTTTTTAACTTGAATGATTTGTAATCTAATGTTATCATACACACATACATTCATTGGTCATGCTCTCCAGTAATTTTGTTGCACTTTGAAGGTCATGCCAGTTTTTTTTTTTTCCAGTGGTAGCTTGTTTCTGCCAATCTGCTTAAAAAAAACGAAACTAAAAAAAATTTTGTGTGTGAATTTTGAGGTGTTTTCTTAGTGTTTTGAGTTAGTCTCTGACCAATGCTAACCTGTAGCGCAGCCCCAATTGGATTGCTGTCCACTTTAATCCAGTGTGAGTAGTTATTTGGAATTTGGAACCAAATGTATTTAAACACTGAAGAACATAACGTTTGTTTTGCTGCTGTTTTTACTGGAGGCTTTTTAAAAAAAATCTTTTTGCAATTAAAAAAAACCCCACATATAGAAATCCCATTGTAGTACCTCAACCACATGATCATCATGTGAACTATTATTTGACTAATTTTGTTAGAGGGTGTGTGAGGTTCTGTATAAGATGTGCATAGTGGTGCTTGTAGAAGATGGTGTTATTGCTTTCAGTCAGGTTAATTCTGTTTCTCCAGTTGATGGCACTGTGCTCCCCCTTTGTTAGCAATACTATTAATAGGATTTCATTGGTGCAAATGCCATTATTCATTGCCTCATTTATCCCTGATCAAAAATATCTTTGTAGGTGCATATAATTACAATTAATTGGACAGTTTAATGCTTTTTAAAATTAATTATTGTTATCAATATCCATTATATGGTCTGTTTTCCAATTAACTTGTAAATATTTTTGCCCAACTTTACTTGATTACCTATCCTGCTCTGATCATCATGCAGAATTCTGTTTATTGGCTCCATCTAGGGGTGGGCAATATAAACGATATACGATAGAAACGATATAAATTTGGCCAACGATAGAGATTTTGACTATACCGCTCTACCGCGATAGTGCATGTTGATGATGTCAACATGCGCCTCTTTTGGTCAAAAGCATTGCAGCGGCTACAACCATTATCATCTGCAAATTATGCCGGGCGACAGTAATCGCAAAGAGATGAAGCACTTTTGAAATATGGGGAAAGCCAAAAACTGAGCTTCCACCACTTCCATACCATTGATTCATTAATGTTGAATTCTCTGGCAGCTGTTTTATTCCCATGTTGTTGCAGTATATTAATAACTAACCTCGTATTGTGGATGAATTATCTGAGTTGTTCTCCTGACTGAAGTTTGGCCCGTGTATAGCATCCTGCCTTGCGATTGCATGTGTCCCTAACCACCAGAATCCCTCACGTTAACTTTCATCGAGTGGAAAAAAGTTGGTGTTCATCCTCCAGTTTCACTGTGCTAATGTTATGCTAACATAGCTGTGTCGCTAGCGATCACGTAGCACAACATTATATAACATTATATTCAAAAATCTCTCAGTCAGAACATGTTTAGGTGGAAACTAGTGAGCTAACTTCCTGCTAACTTCTAGCTCCATTAAATTTAAATAAATTCTGTTTTTATTGATGCCTGGATGTTAAACTTAATTGTTGCACCTGGTAAAGCAGCAACGCTGATCATTTTATTGAAGATGAATGAATTTTGACAGTTTTTAACTCTCAGTGTTCGTTTGACTTTGGGATCTGAAGCGGACGGAGATTTGGACCCAGATAATCTGCAAGGCTCCTGACTACAGCAGACCTAATGCTCTGACAGTCCATCAAGCAGTGTGGCTTCGTAGCTTACCAAAGTTGTACTAAAGCATTTTTTGACAGATTTCTGCACGCTGTGTATTACATAAAATCGGTTCGAGGTCAGTAAACACAACCAGAATTCATACATAAGGCGCACTCTCGATTTTTGAGAAAATTAAAGGATTTTTAGGGTGGAAAATACGTTATACAGAAAAAAAAAAGAAGAATATATCGCAGTATATATCGTTACCGCACATGGTTCAAATTATACTGCGATATGGATTTTAGGTCATATCGCCCAGCCCTATTCCCTACCTCCTGATTTAAGAAATATCTCTTCCTTCTCTCTCTTTAAGTCCCAACTTAAAACTCACTTGTTCAAAATAGCTTAACCCACATAACCTCTCCACTCTGCTATTTTAAATTTATTTACGTCTTGTGCTTTTATGATTGTGTAAACTACTTGCTTTTATGTTGCTTTTTATTCTACTGTGTACAGTGACCTTGAGTGTTTTAAAAGGCGCTTTCAAATAATATGTAGTATTATTATTATTATTATTATTATTACTACTACTACTACTTGGGCCAGCACACTGGAAAGCTTTCAGAATACTTTTTTGGTTAATAAGGTGTTTTTAGGTGTTATGCTCAGTGCAAGACTTAAATTTATGTTGAAGCTCTTTACTTGACACTGTAGGCTGATGTGCACCTTAACAGAAAAGTAACTACAGTGGCATAGACATGAACCACTGTGATAGGGCTGTTTGGTAGCAGTATCCGGTGTAAACACATTAGCAGGATAATACCTCAGTAATTGTATCTAGCTTGTTCATTATGCTATTCCAGTAGCATCAGTGCAAAGACATGCTGTTTTTCTTTTTTTTCATAAGTCTAGCAATATGTTTATAGATTCAGTTGGCTCCGATATCGTTTCTCCTTTCACAGTTTCTGTAAAAGTAACTGTTTAGTTCCAGATTCATCAAATCCATGACCAATATTAAGAGTTTTGCTCACGATGGCAGAGCAATGGCAGAAATTCAACACAGCCCTATAAATTAAGCTTACATCATTGAGGAAATCCCTGTATATGTTCTTTTAATGTATGAACATGATATTGTCTATCTGCAGGACAATTTGCTGAGAATGAAACCAACGAAGTGAATTTCAGAGAGATTCCATCTCATGTCCTCTCCAAGGTCTGCATGTATTTCACCTACAAGGTCCGTTACACCAACAGCTCCACAGAAATACCCGAATTCCCCATCGCGCCGGAGATCGCACTGGAACTACTCATGGCTGCTAACTTTTTGGATTGCTAAAGTTGCAAAGATAATGGAAAGAAAGCTTAAAACATTTTTAGTTGGTTTTTTTTCTTCTTTTTTTGAGTATTTAACTTGTTTTGCTATTCACTTCATATGAAAAATAATCCTTTTTCTGTGGTTTGCTGTTGTTTCATTAGTATTAAAAGATGACATTTTAACATGTTAAATGGATATAGCAGAATGTGACAAATGTGCCCCCCCCCCCCCCCCCCCCAGAAATCTCTCCTCACCACACCATCTTAATAAAGACGTATTTGGTGAGCACTTTGTTTCCAGTCTTTGGTACCTTGTGCCTCATGAAATGAAGTACCATCTCCACAATGAATATGCTTCCTATTTTTATTCTTTTTTGAAGTTTAAAAAAAGAGATATTTGAGATAAAGGCAACAGTGGGGATGTTGTATACACTAAAACAGATAATTCAGTGTTTTGTTTTGCTTTTTCACATCAGTAGTTGGAGATCTACTAAAAGGGTTTAGTCTTTATACGGATCAGATAAGGATGTTTGGAAAATGAATGAACCTCAGATGTCTAATTTAATTAGCATGGCAATGCTGAAATAAAAATGTGTATTGAATCTGAAAATACTGCTTTTTTTTCTTTTTCTTTTTTTTTTTTACACTATCGTAGGAGAACTGCAGTAACTGCTGTGGTTTAAACACTCTTAACATACTTATCAAATAACTGAAAGGACTCACTGTGTGCTCGTACTGCTCCAGCGTGACACTGATTCATCAAGAAGTGAATTTATGACTCTAGGATAAAACAATTGGTACAGACTCCTTAAAGTCCCATAAAGTGGTATGACATAAGGGCTTTGTGTTGCATGTTATAGAAGAAATTTCCGTGTTCATAAAACAGTCAGTGATCACTTAAACTACATAAAAATGTAAAGCTGATAGATGTGATCTTATTATTCTGAATAAACATTGCCTTGCACATTCAAGTTTCAGAAATTTACGTTGCCTGTGTCCATACATTTGACTGGTGCCTATATGGAGTGCTTACCAGCCATGCCATGTGATACACCCAACTATTAATTCCCATGGTGAGGCGAGAGCTTATATCACATCTGATGCAACTCTGGCTACCAAGAGACATTTTCTCTGTAGGAAACATTAGGAGGTTAGATCAAATTGCAGTTCAAGTGGATGAAATGTTCAAAAATTTTGCTTACACAGATAAATGAATATGCTTCCTGTGCTTAAGCCACTGACACCTAAAAAAAAAATGACAGTAAGATAACATAACGAGCTAAAGCAGCTCAAATAATGATAATCATCATCAGGAAAACGAAAAATGTAATTAAATACTCTGATGATCACAGGAAGTCTGTTCTTTGAAGCATTTTGTCATGATGAGTCATTACTCTCACACTTAGAGGTTGTAGAAACCAATGTTATTCTCATTTTTAGGCACGGTTACTCCACCCGAGCGTCTGATCATGTTATACCTCAAAGGTAGGAAGTTTCTGTCTTTTAATAACTAAAATACATCCTTTAGCAAAGGTCACTGGAGGTGCCCGAAGTCCCCCATATTTAAAGAATATTTAAAAATATTATGTTGTCTTTATCGCTGGTGAAATGCTGTGATAAATCTGCTAAATGTTACGGACATCTTGGCGGTGACGGTGGCGCGCACACACACGTTCGTGTGGATTTGTTTTCTGCTGTCAAAACAACTTAAATCACGTGACCGCCTGACGTACGTTTCTACACTCTGCGCTGAGGCAGGAGGAGGGGGGGTTTCCATCATGGCGTCGATGCAGGTAAGAACACAATTGACAGCGATCGCTTATTTTGTGATTTTTACCGGACCTCCCGACTATTTTTTTCCTGGCACTTCATCGACCACTTCATTTACCTACGCGTATTTGCCCAACGTGGTGGTGACGTTACTGTAAAATCGATGACATTTATCCTCAACTGTTCAGGTTTAGCGGCTGCTCTTTGCTAGCAATACAACTAGCCCATCATCATCATCCACAGCAAGTCAAGGCTAGTAGAAGCTAGCTTCCTGGAACTGTATGTCGATGACTTGGCCCGTGTGTAGGTTCTTCTCAGAAAGGCGTGATAATTCAAGGATATGAGGTGGAAAAATTTCCGATGTTTCCCGTAAATGTTGGCGGTTAAGTGGCCGGGCTCTCACCACAGTGAGCTAAGCAGACGGTGCGCAGATCGAACAGTTGCAGTTTCCTCCTGAACAGCTGAACAGGTGCATCACTTTCACAGAAACTGCGTTGTTCAGTTGACTGGCTGTTAACGTCTAAATAAATCAAACCCGTAAAGCAAATTTCATACATTTTTTTAAACACTTACCTCTTTGAAATCGTTTTGTTTGGGTCACGTTTAACTACTAATAAACATAATAAACGGTAACCCCTCATTGGAATATCATTGATGTATCAGTGTTTTTCCGGGTATGGGCCTCTTAATAAAATTGATGAACACATGTGCTAAATTTCTCAGCCACTACTCTGTTTGATTTTACTTGACTTGATCCAGTATTTCAACTTTTTATTTATTTATTTTTTGGGGGGTATAAACCCAATCATGTTTTCTCCCACAGAAAAGGCTACAAAAGGAATTATTAGCCTTGCAAAACGATCCACCCCCAGGAATGACGCTCAATGAAAAAAGTGTACAGAACACCATTACACAGTAAGTCCTTCTTTCTCTCTCTCTCTCTCTCTCTTTTTTAATTTCTTGTGACTCATTTGTTTCAGAGTGGCAGCACTTCTGGGTTTTTATCACCGATATGCCTATCGTGTTTGCTCAAATACCATGTGGCTTTGTGAAATGCCAGGTTTCATTCCTTTAAACGGGTAGCGTGGCAAGCATGCCGCATGCCATAAAGGTAGCTGCGGCTGGAGGTGAGACACCACAGCCTCAGCAGTGTGTAGTGGTGAGGAATTGGGGTCATTCCAGCAACTGGCAGCCACAGGCCCTTCGTAGAGTGTCTCTAATGCACAGTGTCACTATTCATCCTTATAAAATATTTAATGGCTGGCATGCAGGAGTTGGGCTAGAAACAGAGGTTGCTTGGCTGACCTTTCTGTCTGGTTGTCGTGATGTATCCCCTTAAACCCCATGACTACTGTTGCCAGGAAATATGACTTGAATTGTAGTCTTTAAATGGATTTGAGACTAGTTTCTAAGCTGAAGCATGGACTTGTTAAGTTACTAACTTTTCGAGTTGTGTGGCATGGTTTCTGGCCTCCAATGCCGTCTGAAAGAGAGGGTGCACATTGGAGTGTTTGTCACTGGTCAGTTATGGTGGCATCTTCCTCATTAGATAAGTCACCTGGTCTAACAAATGCCTTGCATGACTGCCAAGTCTCCTAAGCAGTCCTGCTGGCTTGTGATCCTTGTATATAATTTCTCTGACAAGGCATGTGTAGGTGTGTCTTTTTTTTTTTTTTTTTTAAACGCTCTGCTCTGATGTCACAAGGTGTCTTTATGCTACTTTCTGTTGTCACGATTGACTGTGGTCATGAAATGTCTTTATTATCCTGACTGGAGTATGACATACTCTTGTTGTGCTTGGCATAGAAGCACACAAGCTGGTATGTTACCACAATAAAGGGTCAGTGTGTTTTCAGCTTTGCACCTTTTGTTTATATAGTACACTTTGTACTGTAACGAGCAACACTGAGAGTCAATGGTTTTGTTTTTTAAGTGTATTGTGTGCTGGTGCTATATTGGTTAGCTTGATGGTGTAATGAGTCACTTAATGTAAACAGGGAAACTGCTGCTTAAAGGCACTGTTGGGCCTCTCAGGTGTACTCATTTGTCCTTGTCCCTACACTTTCACTAAATGTCTCAGTGTTATTTTTGTTGACTGGATCATATAATCACCAGGCTATAGGGAATTTGAGCACATTGAGCGTGATGTCCTTGAAGTCCCTGACTGTTTTCGGCATGAGTTGGTAGCACAATCAGGCCTCGCTCTGAACTTCTTGAAGGAAAAGTGGAGCTTCGTTTAGACACTGTGACTGACCCTTTCCAAGGGCAACGTTTTAAGGAGAACAGACTTTATATGTAGGTTTAAATGATCATGTGTGCCAGTCTAGATTTGAATGAGGCATGAGGCTATAAACCTGGATAACAGCCACAAGACTCTGGTGTCCTGTCTGCACTGCTTGCATGGGAAAAAATAGGGCAGAGATTGTGATGCTTTTTTCTTCTAAGGATTCTACTATGAGCCCCACAACTGTTCTGCACTCAATTTGTTTTTGCCACCAGTGAAGCTACATTCAGCAGTCTTGAGGTGTGTGTGTGTGTGTGTGTGTGTGTGTGTGTGTGTGTGTGTGTGTGTGTGTGTGTGTGTGCGGTGCAGGTAGGCTGTCTTTCATCCCAGAGGCACAAGGCTCTGTATTTGCAATCATCTGAGCAGGATTGAATTGCTAGCAGCTCAGTCAGCAGAGTTCTGTAGCCTGGCCACCGAAGCGAAAATAGATTTTGTCCAGTAGATCAATAGAATATCACATTATTACTAAAGCACTGTCATAACCCAGATGAATATTGAATGTCACTGAAATGAGTCAGACTGAAAGCTTTTGATTACACACACTTACTGGAGAACCGGCAGCTCACATTGTGTATGATTTATTATTATTTTTTTAATGATAATTACATGTGGTTCTGTACTTGTCTCTAGCTAATCTGCTGCCAAATTATAAAACGGCACATTATTAACAGAAATAATGTCGAAGCTGTCATTGTTTCCCACCTACTCCAGAATTGTAAGATTGAACACAGAGCACATTATCACTCATAAACCTAATTTTGCTTTTATAGAAATGCCATTTTCTCCCAAAGCACTGAAGGTTTATGTTCACTGTCAAGTACACTACGTATGAGGAAAAAGGAAAAAGCCTGAGTAGTTTATCCTGTCAAAAATTTGCAAGATCTTTACTCCAATCCCCCAAACCCACAAATCAACTGATTCTTGCAATTTGGATTTACACACAGGGTGTGTGAGGGTCGCAAAAGTAATTGGTGCACCTCATTCAAACTGTGCTGTTTTTATCTGTATAGGCCCAGGGTCCCTTAAAGGCGCAGGTTCTTCTGCTAATATGGTGAATCGAGGGCAAATTTGCTCATTTCCTCCATGCAAATTGTGGGCAACCTCGCAGGGCTTTGTGGTTCCTTGTGGTTTCCTCTTTCCTCTGATTTGTGTAAATCTCTAAAAATGTGTTTTGTTTT